TAACAGCATTTGATTATCAATTCAGTCATATATTGAAGAGATACTGAATAGTGAATGAAGCTATTAAAAATAAAGTCCATGGATGTCATGGTAAATTTCTTCTTAATGTCTTTCAGATCATGTATTTTAGTTCCCTTTTTCCTTATGTGGTACTTTTATGCTTTCTGATCAGAGGACTGCTCCTTAATGGGTCAGTGGATGGAATTCGTCACATGTTCACACCTAAGGTGCGTGCTTAATTTCTGTTTGCAATGTATGCAGTGGCAATTTGTCCATTTATGAGTACTCTCATTTAAGCTTATTGTCTTCATAGAACATTTGGCCATATTTCTGTTTGGTTAAATGGGATAACAAGCCCTGAGATCCAAAGGCTCTAAGTGTTCCAAGGGCCTGTGTAGAGTTACCTCCTTTAGGTGAAAAGTTCCCAGAGTTAGATGTCTTTACAAAGCTAATGACTGAAAGTGCTGTTTACAGGATTCAGGATGTTCAGGTCGTTCCAAATACTGAAAAGAGAAGTAAATCTTAAATCTTGCTATTCTGTAGGATTGAAATGCCTAGTTCTGGGATATCACAGTGAAATGCCTTACCTTGAACACTCTGATGGCTTTACATAATTAACTGATTGCTTAGTAGCCCAAAGTACAGGGGAATTATCTTTAATACTAAAATAGTGTAAGTACTCACCACTCAGCTTTCCTTATTGTGTTCCTTATGGGTGTCTTGTAATGCCAAGATAGCAGCAGGTCTAAACATTTTCTCTTTTTTTTTTTTTTTACTGTCAACATTTTAACGGGGAATGTGTTTTAACAGAGCTTTAGATTTTGTAACTACGGAGGTGAGAAAGGATTTTACAAATCATTGTTTAGCCTGAAGATCTGAATTCTGCCGCCCACACGCATCTCAAATGCTTGTATGTACTACAGGAACAGCACATTTGAGTAGTCAGAGTCGTACTCAGTAATGCATAATGCTGGGCTTCATACTGTGTTATGAAATGGACTTTTCAACAAGTCCATTTCATAATACAGTTAAGCAGGACAGGAGTGAGGTTTTAAAAACAAAAGCCAAATAATAGGATTATTAAAATCAATGCGCATAGCGGCTAATGCCAGATGACAGGTTGTTGTCAGTTGTATTGATCCCAGGTGTTTTGAGTCTGTGGAGAACTGTCATCTTATAAAAATGACCTTTGTTAGCTATCACATTGTTATTTCTTGCATTGTGATACGCAGTCATGCTCCACTCGCTGTCACGGCTTCAGAGAGTCATGGTTCTTCAGGAACTGGCAGGCTGCTTGGGCAAATTTGGGAAATCTGAGGAACAGAGAAATGTAATGCTTACTAACAAAGAGAAAGTCTGCAGCAGAAATGGAGAGATGGAATGCAAACCTCTTGAAGTTATAATTTGTTTTCTCAAACACAGTCCTTTCTTTAACTAGAAAAGTGTCAGTAAATACTGAAGGAAATATTGAAAGCACCCCTTGAATACCAATACTTCTTCACTGTTTCATCTTTCATAAGTCAGACCTAGAAGAAGTTGCAGCTGATGCTTACTTTAAAGTTACATTTTAACTTAGTTATACAGTTGTTCCAAGTTTTTAATTCCTTCTACTGGTTTCCAGTCCCGTATCTCAAAAGTTAAGTTGTGGTTTAAATTTGAGGTTAGGAGGCCTCTATGTCACGTACAGTGTATGTGAATATAAACCTTCAAAAGTATTTTCATTATAATGAGTGATTGTTTCTGTACTTGACACTAATGTGGAGTGTAGATTCATATGAAACTGCCTAAAGGAACTCAGACTCCCCCACCTGTTGTTGTTTCCATTCACTCCATAGTGTTAACAGTTTCTCTGGGGAGGAAGACTGTAAAAAGGATTGCTAAACTGATCTAGGTTGAAAATTATACAGCTGGATAAGTGTGAGAGGGGAAAGAAATCAGTTTTTCAGCCTCGATTAGTTCAGTTGTACAGCCACATTTAGACCACCACTATCACACCATACTCCCACAGAAGAGTTGTGTCAGCGCGGCAGAGGACTAGCAGTCATTGGTGCAGGTGTGAGAGCACAGGGCTAATGAAGACGGGGAGAATTTCTCTGTTTGGTGTGGTTGATGAATAAAGCAGAAACTCTAAATAATAACCTTAATGAAAAACCTAAAGAAAGGAACATGGAAAGCCCACTGAAGTCACCTGCTGCAATGAAACTGCAGTAGGACTGTATGAAGCTTAAATTACAGAGCCTCCAAAATTTTACTGAAAAAATCTTACATAGCAAATCAATTACAAATTTATTTTGAAATGCTAGACAATGTGTGTCTGAGGCCATATTGCCTTCAATGATACTGAATGATACATGGCAGAAAGTGAGAAGTATTTTCATACCAATTCCAGTTAGATTTGGCAAAAATTAAGAATAATCCTCAAGCTCCCTCTCGTGGAAAAGCTCCAGCATGACTCTGTGATACAGGCAGCTAGAACTATGTGCAATAGCTACTTGTGCATTGTAATTAAAACAAAAAACTGTTATAAGATGACTTATAACTTTGTAACAAAGATATTTCTTGAAATATGATCATCTGAATGAGCAGTACAGTTCAGTTTTTTGATAAAAGGCTTAGTTGTCTCTCAAATACCTGACCCGTTTTACTTAGGGTAAGTTCAAGGCATCTGGCTTAAGGGACATTTGAGTCATTAACTGTAGAGATTGTGGTGGCCAACGTTTATTTGATCTATTGCATTTTGCTTTACATATTTGCATGTCTAGAATACCATATAAGCATGTGTATCTCATGTTCACTTTTTTTTTTTTAAAGTAGCAGCAAAGCAACTTTCAGCATACTTAATGCATTTAAAAGAGGGTTGATCATCCCAAAATACATTGTAATTCTAACAACTGTCAATACATATACTGTTAAAAAAACCCCACAGTAAATACTGTCAAATTAAAATATAATTTCTTTTTATTTCTCAGTATAACTAGCTGCTCTTTGATTTATCATATAGCTTCAGTGGTGTCTCATTATTGGGAACACAGTATATAGCATGTTTCTCTTTAAGGATTATATCACATAAAATGAAGAGAATTTCTAGCCCATAAGTTCACTCAACTTTAGGTGTCATATTCAGCTTTCATTCTAGCATAATAAAAATACATTTGTAGTTGAGTATTAGTATTTTATGATGTAGGTTGTCTTCCTGTTTGTTATTTTTTTTGTTTTTCTGTTATCTTTTCATATAATAGAAATGCATTTTATAGCTGACATATATTATATCTAATTTCAAACAGCTTGAAATAATGCTGGAGCCCAAGGTCTGGAGAGAAGCTGCTACTCAGGTGTTCTTTGCCTTAGGGCTTGGATTTGGTGGAGTCATTGCCTTTTCAAGCTACAACAAGAGAGACAACAACTGCCATTTTGATGCTGTACTGGTGTCCTTCATCAATTTTTTCACTTCTGTGCTGGCAACTTTGGTGGTGTTTGCAGTTCTGGGCTTCAAAGCCAATATCATAAATGAAAAATGTGTTATCCAGTATGAATATAAATTATTTTTATTTTTTTTTATATTTCATGTATGAATTAACACAGATCATTGAGTTTGATTTCTCTGTTTTATTATGTTTTGCAGAAATTCAGAGAAGATTTTAAAACTTCTGAAAATAGGCAGTCTGAGCCAGGATATGATCCCACATCATATCAATTTCTCAAGCATTACAGCAGAAGATTACAATTTAGTTTATGACATTATTCAGAAAGTTAAAGAAGAAGAGTTTGATTCTCTTGGTCTGAAATCTTGTCAAATTGAAGATGAACTTAACAAGGTGAGGGTAATAAGTAAGTCAAATACAGAGATGATGAGCAGATGAATATTTTTAAGTCTGTGTAAGTATACTTCAGTCTATCAGTACAGCGTACCTGTGAGAAGTGCACCTGTAGATATCCATATGAAAACATGGTTCTGTGCAGGGTTTGCTTTCTAGCTTATCTAAGGACTTTTGGGTCAGATGTCTTAATATAGTCTTTACTGATTTATAATATATTTTGATCGTTATATCGCTCTCCTCGGAGGTGATAAGTTTTTAAAGTTCTTTTCTTTAGAAGAGTTGAGCGTGATAATTCTTCTAAAGACTAAACAGAAGTGTACCTATTCAGTGTAATAGTTTGATGTCTTCTAATGTTAAGATACAATTATTAAACATAAATATTGTTTCATTAGTAAGTAAAACAGTTATTATTTACTTACTAGATAATTGTTTAATGAATATCATCCTGGTTTGAAATCTTTACTGTAAGCCAGATCTGTAAAAGAACACATGATTTTCTAGCTTTTTCAGAGGGACTTCCAATTACAAGCACAGACCTCTGTGTGTTTGCACCAGCATCTGAAACTAAAATGTAAGATCAGTGACTTGACTTAGGCATTAAAAGGTTCTGTACTATTCCTGCCATTTGAAACGTAATTATAAAAATGAAGTCCTTTATATACTTCCTGGAGAAAACCATGTATTTTGTAGCAATCCTGTATAATAGCTTTCATGCAAAATTATTAATGAGAGATAGAAGTTCCAGCTGGACACAAAAGGAAATTTTGTCACAGTGAGAACCGTCAGTCTCTGGAATAATCTTCCCAGGGAAGTGGTGCATTCCCCAGCATTGAACATTTCTATGATTCAGCA